GTGTTCTAGATAACAGAGGAGGAGATCGAGCGGATCATGTCGGGCCAGGAGTTCAAGGAGGACGCCCCGGAGCACACCTGGGGCAACAACGGCGACAGCGACCACAGCTCGCCAAGCAACGGCGCCTCGGAGGGCAACCAGCCGTCGCCTGCCTCCACTCTGTCGTCCAAGTGAGTCGTCGATCTCATCCGCTCAGCTACGCGCCTCTGGCACTCGCCCCATCTTTGAGATAATGAGCCGGCCCTGACAGTCTAACACCTCGTTCCCATCTCACCCAGACTTTAGTTAAAGTATTCATCGGCCAAAGAATGCCTGAATATGCAGCTCCTCAGGCTCGCTGATCGCAACCAAACACAAAGAGCTCACCGCACTATCTGCTGTTCTTGCTTGGAGACGAGCATATTGTCTATCTGCACTCATCAAGGACAAATATTGTCTAGGTACTTGCATGATGGCATTTATTTTAGTCTCAGTTTGTGTAAACATCAGGTTTTATCTCAGCAGCCTGAAAACTATTCAGGGGATGGCTTTTCTTTTTTTATGCGATGGAATTAAACCTTGCCAGAAATGAACAGCAAACAGAAAGCCTGCGTCGCATGCGCTCGTGCACATGCCCAGAATGCAAAGTTTAGTCTGCAAGTTTGTGAAAAAATGCAAAGAGTTTGATTGGGGATGAAGCTCAGCACATCAGGGTGAGGTTAAAGGAGGGTTTGCCTGAGAAATGCAAACCCCGACGTGTGAGCCAGCGTGTTTTTGTCCCCGCAATACTAACAAAATCTGCATTACTGTAACCTTTGACCTTTGTGTGCTTCCAGTCGCTCTGCTGAAATGAACGGCTACACGGCAGCCCTGCGGGACCAGTACATTAACACCTCCATGCCCACGCATTACCAGCTCTTGCCTCACCTGTTCAGCTACGCCGCCCAGTCTGGCCTGCTGGCCTCTCAGCCCCGCAACCTCTACCCACAGCCCCACCCTCTGGTGCAGCAGCTGGTGGCTGCTGAAGAGCTGGCCCCCCTGACCACTCCAATGCTTATAGAAGAAGAGTGAGTTCATACTCTGCATCGTGCGTTGTGTAGAGGCGCGGCCAAATGAAAGGAGTGCAGCTGGTTTCAGAAAGCAAAATTCTCAATTAGATACTCATTTTGTATCAAACAGTCCTTCCCAGTAAACCAAACTTGTTAGTCTTTTTCTAATTGTATGTCGTGAACGTTGCCATTTACCTCGGTAAGTGAGATGCAGGTGTGTTGGAATAGGAATTAGGCTCTTGAACCTCTATGTTAATATTTTGAGAGCCTGGCGCTCTCACAAGCGCTCCAACAGGAGGATATTCTCTGAATATCAAGTTCATCATATGTTTTTGGTCGTTGATGCTGACTGTGTGAGGTTTCTTCATCATTTCTTCCACTTCCACATACACTGAAGCATCCCCACAGCATTCATTCCCACCATCAGTGTTCTTAGGGTTGCCTTTTCTTCCTGTGTACAAACACTAGCAGTGTCGCGGTGACCAAACAACTGTGGTTTAGTGTTATTTGACCAAAGGACAAAGGATTGTCCTCAGCATTCTTGCCTTGAAGGCATCTCTTCTGCTAACGTGGAGCTTCTCCTGTGAGCTCGTTGCTTCATTAGTTTCTCCCCTCCAAGTCTAAAGTGATTTGTTTTGGCTTGATGCATTTTCATGTGGCAGCTCAAACTGCTGCCAACGTTTCTATACTGCGTGTAAACTGGAAGATAAAACACGGCAGCGTTTGTGCTGTGGCTCAATGAAAAGCTCTGTTGCTCAGTGGGATAATAATACCGACCATGATCAGCGTTTTATCCCAAACTAATTCTAGTATGAAAGTTAGAAATGCTCTGTTGACATTTCTTTGTCAAAATTAGAAAGGTTTGTGATTTTGAAAGTGCAGGAACTTTCTGATCACATCTTGATTTTTCCAGCATTACATTATTTACCGTAAAAGATTCTTTTAAATACATTTTGTGTGATTGTTTATTTTTTCCTCATTATTTTACATTTATTCCTCAGATAAATTCAGGGAAATGCTTTAGGAAATGGCCTGAAGTCAGCTGCTCTCTGTTGGTAACAGAGGTTAGAATTAGCTGAAGGCTAAGCAGATCTGCTCTGTGAAATGAGGAGAATCTAGAGGGACAGGAAGTCAGACGGTGAGGGACGTGAAGGCTGCTGAAAGCTGTTTGTTGTGGAGTGGGATGCTGATTTGAGCCACGTCAGGCCCATTTTGACATGATGAGAGTTTTCCTGCCCACCACACATTTGTCTCGTTGTTGTTTGCTCAAGGTACAAGGTAACACAAGTGGAGCTGTTTGCTCTGCTGTGCCGTCTGGCAGACGAGCTGCTCTTCCGCCAGATCTCCTGGATCAAGAAGCTGCCCTTCTTCTGTGAGCTCTCCATAGAGGACTACACCTGCCTGCTCAGCTCCACCTGGCAGGAGCTCATCCTGCTCTCCTGCCTCACTATCTACAGTGGCCAGATCTTTGGAGAGCTGGCCGACATCACAGCAAAGTACACGCCATCTGACGACGAGCTTCAGGGGTGAGTGGCGAGTGCTTAAAGAGCAAAAGGAGAGAACAATTGGGGTGTTTTGTTTATGAGCTTTAGAATAACTTGAATTATTGAGGAGCCAAAAAACACCCACATTTACTCCATTTAGTTTATAACTATTACATACCTCCCCTGAGTTTCTTAGAGGTGCACAGAAGAAACGATATGATAGATGGACACTGCGACGTCGTCCACTGGTTTCTGAGCTCTAGTTTGTTTTACCATCATCACCGTGGTTTAAAAAACAAGCAGACAACAATTACTTGTCACGAGGACGGGCAGGTCTGCTTGCTCATTGGCTAATCAATGTCATTAGCCAATGAGCAAGCAGAACCAAGTTGAACCCTCCTTGTTGAAGCATAGAATTACTTATATTTCCAAAAGAGACATTATTTTTGTATTCAATAAAGGCCAAAAAAACTCATCAGGAAAGTGTTTACAGAGGTCAAGTCTTTTTGCAGCTACAGCTATCGCCATCTGGTGGCCGTTATGGCATTTCTGCATTGACGTCCTTTTACCAAACTAGAACCTGCAGTCAACCTTCACTTACTGCTCTCAGAAACCTCGTTTCAGCCATGGCTGTTTTCTCTTTTTAGGGAAAGAGCTATACGTTTACCCACTAGCAGACAACTGATAGAGTTAGCAACTAGCTAACTTCTAAAGCAGATCTTTAAGCAAAGTCAAAGGCAAGACAATAGGGCTCCGAATGATGGCTTGCATTGCTATTTGTGCGCTGGTATTATAACAAGACAGCTGTTTGTAACTTTGTAACTGTAATTCAAATCATTTATTCATATAGCACCAAATCACAACAGCAGCTGTAAAAACTCTACAATAAAAAATTTTTTGTAAAACCTTCTGCGAATGTTACAGTTACACTTTACTGGGTTAGCAACATAAATCAGTTATTACTATTACCATTACTATTGAATATTGAGCTGGCATATTTTGTACATATTATGTTAGCTAGGCAGCTGGCACAGACAATGACCTTTAGATTGTTTTCATATTGTTTTCTGTCATCAATAATCAAAATATTATCCAGCAGTTAAGGAGTTGTTAAGGAGGCTAACCGTTTAGGCGACAGTGCAGAAACAGCCAAGGCTAGCTTCTATGCTAACTTCTATGCTAGCTTTTAGCAGTAGAGAGCTTCTGAATTACTATATTGTAATTTTGTAACAGAGACTACTTTAAAAGTAACCTTTCCAGACACTAAAGTTAAGTAGCTCAAGCAAGAACAACAACAAGTGATCTTATTCTATAGTCTTGATATTGATACGTAGCAGAAAGAAACTGCCTTCATTCGTTCTGTTTTGGTAATTCAGCCTCACCCACAGCAGTCACAGTGGGGCTGTTTCACTATAAGATATTAAATGTTTCTTTTTAGTCTCTGGGAGCTGTGCTAATTCAGTATTTCAGTAGAAATGAGAACAGCAATCAGGAATTCAACATTCCCTCTGCACAGCCAAGCTGTTTCACTTTGTGAGCTCATCATCTCTAAAAGGGCTTAATATTTTTCTCCAAGTGTTATTGCTGGGTGAGGCCCAGTGAAGTGGTCCGTGAACAGGAGGCCTCCTCAGAGCTGAGCTGTGGCTAGCACTGTCTGGCATGTGTACTATAGACGCTTGTTTCACTTGAAGTAGAAAAGGATGCGTGGGGGAAGAGGGGGAGTGTTCCTGTGTAAATCAAACATGTATAATTTGACCTTCTGACACATTCTCCTAATATAACTCTGCTGCTTCAGTCAATTTGCCCACAGTTTAGTGGTTTTAGACGTGGACGTTTGATTTACAGTGGCATTGTTGAAGTTTGTGAAAGAGATTAGAAGTGCAAGGCAGAAAATTGATGTTTAAAACGTGGAGTGAACTTATGAATCTTCTCTTCAAAAAGCTGTGGAATCAGCAGGACGCTTTAAGCACTTTTAATAGATCTGACATATTTCCTCCCTCATTTTCTTTGCCTTGTCCATTGAAGCATGGAAGCTTAAGATAGCGGTGCTGGGGGGATTTTTGTCTTCTTTCTTTATGTGGATTGTAGTGAGGACAGCGAACCTACAAAAGTCTATATCATGGTTTGAGTTGGAGCCTTAAAGGCACCGTCTGGCTTCATAGAGCTGCAGTTTTCAGCTTAACTGACGGGTCTGTGTGTGATTCCTCAGATTCAGCGAGGATGGGATGGAAGTAATGGAGAGGTTGATCATTCTGTTTCGCAAACTCCACCAGTTAAAGATCAGCAATGAGGAGTACGCCTGTATGAAAACCATCAACTTCCTCAATCAAGGTAACAACAAAGTCTCCAGCGTGTTGACTTTTTGCCATCGCGACCTTCCCCCCTTGACTGTGATAGTTTCTGCTCCACAGATATCAGAGGACTGTCCAGCATCTCCCAGCTTGAGCAGCTGAATAAACGCTACTGGTGTGTGTGTCAGGACTACATTGAGTCCAAGTACCCACTGCAGCCTAAACGCTTCCCTGAGATCATGATGTGCCTGCCGGACATCCGCTGCATCTCAAGTAAGGCCTCAAAGAACTGTTTAGGCTGTTGTTGAAGACTGACTTTAGAAATGCACTCAGATACTCATACGTTAGTTTGTTTGAGCTACAAAAATGTGATACTACCCAGTGTATTGTGCCACAGCGATTTATGTTCAGCCATGAAAGTTTCAGTTTGTGCCCTTACGACCTGTGTTGTTCCCCGCCCTCTACAGTGCCTTGTCTTTGGGGAAAAACGCTGAAAATACAAAAACCGTTGCAAAATTTTATGTTTAATGAATTATTTGGTTAAATTATTTGAGCTAATTGGATAAAAGAAAGCATGGCTTTTGTCATTAAGACAAACTATAATAAGTGCATTAACCCTGTAAGACCCAACCCATCAAAAAATAGCCAGAAAATTCAGATTTTTGGAGCTGAAATGTTTAATAACCCTTAATAATACACAAATTTTATTTTGCTATATCATGTTGCTTACGATTTATTTTTTGTATTCCATTTGATACATTTGGCTTTTTCTTTTTAACAACAATGTTAATTTTAAAAAGCTGTCCATAACATTTTGAAATTATGGCAAGTATTGATCATGTTGATGGGTTAAAGCTTGAATCACAATCTAGTTACTTTTGTGGTTTTAGCTCATCAATTAAATCAAACACAATCAACTGTTCATTTTTCTGGTAATAAATAAAATCATGGCCAAACCTTTGGATAAATAGAGACACTTTGCATACGTTTCTTTTATTTACCAACTCTTTGAAACTTAAGAATGATTGGTCGAAACAAGTAATCTAAATAAAAACGGTGAAATAAATGCTACTGCCAGTAATTTTGACTAACTAGACGTAACTGAACCGAAATCAGCTTCATAAGTTCTAAAAAAGTAAATGGTGAAAATTGTGTCAAAGAAAGGTCGTTAGATTTTGTACACGTAACCTGCCCAAATTAGACCGTTTAACACGAGCTGGGCACACTGCTGGAGCCAGCCTCTAGTGGCCGCCAGAGGAACTGCAGCATTCGGCACTTGGGTTGGCTTCATTTGTCTCGCAGGTTGCCTCCTGGACACGACTGTGACCAATGAAAATGTCGGCTGTACAGAAGCTAAGCTAATCATGAACTAAAGTGCCGTGTGTCTCGGGTTTCTTCTCAGCAAAGCTGGTGAACGTCCCTCTGGAGCAGCTCCCCCTGCTGTTCAAAGCAGTCTTGCACTCCTGCAAATCCAGCCTGACCAGCTACAGGACCGGCCCGTCGCCCTGCGTGACCGCCTCCACCGGAAACTAAACCCTCCCCGACGCCCGAGTCGAGGACTGGTCTCCCCTCTCGTGAATGTGACAAGCAGCTAGTTTGTTTTTTGTAACTTTTTTCTTTATATATTTATTACACGACAGAGCTGAATGTATGCTGATTTACACTGTGCACATGCTTCTGTACAAAACAAATGCTCGTAGATGCATTGGTCTTTGGAGTTTACAAGCGTGTATCCATTTTGCTCCATGTGTCAGTGTTGCCATTGTTAGAGCTAGACTTTAAAAGAGTTTATTTTATACAGATGGGGCGCCTTGGCACGCGCGACGAGTGTTTTGAGACTACCTCAGGAAGATGTTGTTGCTATTTTCAGGTACCTTTTCTTACTGTTAAATGAAGAGTTGCCCAGTCTAAACCAAAACCCTGTGGATGCTTTGGTACCTCAATCAGAGATGAATGTTCAAAGAAGCTGCATAAATCAGTCTGAAAAACAGTTTTTTGTTACACTGAAAATGCAAAATGAATTAGCAAAAGTACTCAGACATCCTGCTTTTAGGAGGCGGTCTTGTCAATTTAACATTCCATGAGTTAAGGTGGCTGTTGTTGGATCTGTGGGATCATCGAATAGGAGCATACGGGTATTTTTTAACAATCATAGACTAGGGATGTATGGCTTTATTGCAGGGGAAGGGGCGGATAGCTAGGTTTGCTGTTTTTCTTTTTATTATGTTTCTCTCTTGACCAAAGTGTTATGCAAAGATTATATCAAGCGCCCGCTGATGGGTAGGGAGCTGACAGCTCAACAAAACCCTTTTCTTATCCATGAAGGACGAGGATAAGAAATGAATCGGTCTGTTTCAGAGGCAAGACGCTCTGCAGGGCAGAAAAGTTCAGCGTTTCATTGCAAACATGCGCGTTTTGTCGCGTGCACACATATGCACAGAGCAGACACGATGGCTCTCATTTTGTGCTCTTCATTGCCAAAGAAGATGGTGCATTTTCGCCTGCTCTCGACACAGCTGGGTATATGTGATTAAAAATGTGCGAGCTTCACGGGTGACACACACCGATCAGCCACAACGTTGAAATATCGGGGAGGTTTCTGATGTGTTGGCACATTTGGGTCTGTCAGCTCGTCTGTGCTCTCTGGCGGTGGGTCGCGTCACGGATAACGCTTCCTGCAGGTTGAATTTTGAGCTTGATTCAATTTGAGGACTTTGCAGAGCAGGTGAACAAACCACGCTTTCCCCTAGTCCTGAGGGAGACCGCTGGTACTGGGGCACGCCATCATTTTTAACAAACACCACATTACTGATTACCCAAGGTTAGGGTTGGGTTTTTGCTTTACTCACAATGGAAACGGGCCCATAAATTTTCATTTGAACACATTTTAGCCTTGGGGAAGGATTTTTATTTGGGTGGTTGGATGTTATTGTAACCCTAACCCTATATGTGTTGGCCCCAGCACGCTCAAGCTCTCCCAGCAGAGCTTTGCATAGTAACAAGGTAACGATTACTGGTCACTTCACCTGTCCGGGGTTTTGATGTTGTGGCTGCTTGGTGTTGCCCATCTTAGTGGAACCCACTGAAACCAGCCATTTAAAAGAATCAGTGTTTATTGATCCATCCGTTTTGCTTAAGAGTTCATTTCGATTTTTCAAAACAGTTGTTGAATTTCAAAGTTCTATCGGCCAGTTTTGAAGGGCAATCAAACGTTTTTAGATGTAGAATGTAAATCAGACCACACTTGGTTTCCACGGGCATCAGGCCGCGTGGACATCCAGGTACGGTCCGACTGTTTTTAAATGAGATGAAAGTGAAAATATCATTTATGCAGAATTGGCTTAAAGTTGAACGTCTAATCGCTTTAATCCAGCCGTAAGTGGACTCGGTGTGATCGGCTAGGGCTTTACCTCAATCAGTTTAGGCCAGGTTTGGAGAATTTTAGGGGATATACCCCTGGCTTGCATACCCACAGATATGCACGCCGTTTTAAAAAGTGTAGCCACAGAGAAATGGTCTTTATTTTTAAAGTGTGAGATTATCATTTCTGACCACTTGAAGTGTCTTTTCTGGCCATTTCACCATTTGCGTCATTTGAAATGCAGACAAAGTGCAGTCCCCGCAACCACTCCCTTTTTTGCACACGACAGTGAGGTTTGGAGACCTTAACCCTTGTTCTTGGCCACTGCCCACCCAATGTGTTCCTCTCTCAGGTCCCTGCTGACCTGGATATATACAGGGTAAAGTGAGTGTTATGTATTGCATTCAGGAGTTCGTCAGTGACCACACTGATGTACTTGTAGTATTAGTAGATGTAGCTTCCAGGACATTGTAGGTCCTGCTGTAGAAAGGTGTTTTTGTTTTTTGTTGTTTCAACTTTATTTCCCTCACCGTCCCCACCCCACCCACACTCCCCTTCAGTGAAAGTGGAATTAGTTTGCAGGGCAGGTTTTCTAAAGCTCTCGGCATTGATGACGGACGAAGCAAAAGGCGGCGGCATCTTTCCGATGTCACAGCTTCCCTCCCGTCGTGCGCAGCCTAACGAAACCACAGCCCAATCCAGCGTTCCTTGTGATGCTTCAGTTAGCCTCTTTTGATTTTTTTGAATGCTTTAATGTACCTTTTGTAGTTTATAATTAAGAATGTCTTTTTAGCTTTTTTGGGTTTGATTTGGAGTGAAGACAACACCTATCATTTTCTAAACTGATTTCTTCATTGTTGTTGTTGACGTTCACTTGTTCACTGTGTTCATTAAAGAAAGTGTTACTCAGGCTTTGTCAGCAATGCTTTACGTGCACGCTGCTGACATTTTGGATCTGTTTGCGTAATCTTGGAATAAGTTTAAACCTCAAATGTTGTGCTGTGGCGCCGTCTCTGGAGACAAAAGCCTCGTGTTCATCCATCAGGTGACCAGCACACCACACGGGGGCAGGGCTACGTTTGAGCCACGTGCCCGACGAGCACAGTTTGATAAACTCTTAGGTTTCAAAGTTAATCTTTGGGTGGAATAGATGTGAACCTCACCGTAACCGTGGTAACCAGGTTACCATGCACGCGATCACCAGTGAACCACTTGGGTCCACATTTTCAGAAAGTCTAAGATGTTTAAATTCTTCAGTTTTGTTTCAGGTTGTATAAAAACAGCTCGACCGAACCCTGATCCTCCTCGCGTCGCTGGCTAACTGCTGGATGTTCAGATTTTGCAGAGATGAACAAAACCATTTAATGTTGCCTTTAGCGGCGCTGAAAGGTTTGGCTTTTAGCTTGAGATAGCTGCCTCCCTCCCAAACAACTGATAGTGTTATGTTTTTAAAAAACATACATGTAGAGGCAGCATTCCTCCACATGTATTAACTGAAAACATTAAACCAAACTATCTGACAAGATTACATTATCGTGTCGTTTTGGTGAACCGACCCTTTAGATCACAGTATCTCAGGACACTTCTGTGTACCGAAGGTCTCACTGTGATGAAACGGTTCAGATCCCCTCAAACGCTGCTCGGAGACCCTGTCAGGCTGTCCCGTGTCTGTGCAGCACTGCCAGAAAAACAGCAAAATGACTGGAGGAATGCACTGAACATCACACTGAGATCTGACAGCGCAGCAGGATCTGAGGGCTTTCTCCTTTAATGTGATGCCAAACTGTCTGCTTATCAGCGGTGAATCCCACCTTTGCTGGCAGCACTCGCACTTGTTCAACGTTACAGTTTGATACACACACGCTGGTGTCTTTTTTTCACTTCCTGTTTGTATTGGTTGTGTGCAGACAAAGGGATGTGCCATTTCTAAACTACCTCTGTATTTTTCACACCGTTACTAATGTTCATTACACCAATGTTTTTTATGAGTTGACCTCACATGTGAACCACCAACACTTGTTTTCTTCTTCGTAGCCTTGTATTCCTCTCTACCTCAGGTACTTTTAGGGACCCTCTTCCTCCTTTGTTTCCTTAATGTGCTGTTTCATGTTAAATTAGCATCATCTTATATTTCACTGCTACCCTGTTATCAAAAATCACATACCAAAGATGAGCGAATGTCAATGACAATGTCAGTGCACTGATTAAGCATTCATGTGTTATGTTCTGGCTGAAGTTAACCAGTGTTGCATTTTTCCATGTTGACCTTATCCAAATATGCCTCATTATCTGTTGAATTTGCTGTATTCGCCATACCATGATAATCCTGTGTGTGTGTGTGCGCGCGCATGCACGTGCGTGTTTGTTGTTCGTTGGTGAAGCAGAGAACACACTCAGTATTATCCCACAGCAGCCGGTGCTGCATGTGATCAGTTGTCAATCGCAGGATGCTCACTCGTGTAACCGTAACACTGTGACCACAGATGGACAGACGGCTGTGGTGTGAGCACTGGGGCTGGACACACACACAGGCTCCGCCTTTATAGTCGCTGTCCTGCTGTTAAACCTTTAACGCCATCAACTTATTTGTAAGTGAGATGTTCAAAAGACTCATGTTCCTACAGAAACAGCTTGTATTCACCACACTTTCTATATAACGCTCGTCCACTCCCTTTAGTTTTCATCTGAGAACAGCCAGTGGGTGTGGCTTCTAAACCAGAGCCAGAGATGACCATATTAGGGATTCCTGTTCAAACTGACTTCATACATGTTAGTGGGCCTGGAGCATTGTGTTTTTATGCAGACGCACACACAAATAGACATTTAGGCCCATATTGCTTGTCCTGGATGGAGCTCCATCCCCTAATTCCCTGTAACTGACAACACTATAGACGGAACAGCAGGTGTCCAGCTGTCAGAGCTTTGTTACAGGCACAGGAGGAGCACACCGGCAACATATCTCAGGGAACAAACAGATTCATACACGGTCATCAGAAACTGAAACGCCATTTCTGTCTTTTCTCTTCAGAAATCTCTTGTCTGCTCTTGTTACTTTAACTACCTGTGAAGAATGTGATCCATTATGTGTTAAAAGCATGTTTAGAATGTGTTAGGACTTGAAACAAAATAAATGTGACATTATGCAAGTGCACTCGGCTAACTTCCAGTTTCTCGCTGTCCAACTCTTGGCTTTTCTACGGGGAAGATGATAGAAACTAATGAGACAGTGTTCCTTTCAGTCACTGATAGGCAGAAGGTCTGCCGTTAAAAGCTGAGGGACCGGAATTTGGATGCGTTTGTCCCTGACCTTCTGCTTCGTGTACTCCAGTGTGTTGTTCACAGCGAGATAGTATTATTAGGATAAACACAAAATGTGTTTCAGCCTGGAAAGGAAACATGCCAGGTCTGCTCATTTACTGCAAGTCATGGCAACAAATAAACTTATTTTTTAAACACTCTTCAAATATAATGTGCTGATGACAATAATTTGCCTGCCGTTGTTTCATAAATGCAGCTTTAAAATATTTCTTATCCATCCGGGTGCTCTAAACAGCTGGAAATTTAAAAAAGCGTTCTGGATAATAACTGACCCGCCTAACTTTAGGGGGGTGCGCACTGAGACTCACCTGAACGCTGCACATATAGAAACAGACTCGGTGCAGTTTTCATCCCACATTCACCATCCAGCTGCTGTTTGAGTAACAACTGCTAAAACTGCAGTACCCAGGTCAGTGGTGCGTCATCATTCCAGATGAGTTTATGGTCTCAGTCACTAGTTTCATGTGTTACTGAAGAAAATATTAGATCTTTGAAATGAGGTGACTTTTGTTGTGATTTGGCACTATATAAATACAATTGAATTGAAATGAATTGAATGTTCCCCACCGGAGTCGGTAAGATTTAATGATTGTGTACTACAGTGTCACAGTCAGAGCCGCGCCATTCATGGTGGTTTCAGATGGTGATGACCAAAGCTCATAGTTTGAGCCTGAGCGTGCTGATCGTGCTCCGTTTCACTAAAGTTCGACTCTCATTACCACACAGCACTGGAGTGTTGAAAGAAATGATTTTAAATACGAATCTGTCACAACATCAGTTCTGAACCATCGTGGCAAAAACATGGCGATGTGGATTTTGACAGACTGTCCTGGGTTACAGCAAAGGTCCCCAACCACCGGGCCGAGGACCGGCATCGGGCTGC